GCTCCGGTGGCGGCGGCGGCGGCTGCTCCGCGACGCTCATGCCGGCGGCGGTCGCGGCGGCGAGCGGGAGCCTGGCGGCGGGGGGCTGCGGCGCGGCGGGGCCGTCGTCGTGGACGCGCTCGCTGGAGCGGGCGCTGGAGGAAGCGGCGGCCAGCGGTTCCCTCAGCCTCAGCGGCAGGAAGCTGAGGGACTATCCGCGGGGCAGCGCGGCCGGCCACGACCTGAGCGACACCACCCAGGCCGGTGAGCGGAGGAAGGCGGGCGGGCGGGCGGGCGGGAAATCGGGACGGAGAAGTCCGCACCGCGAGCCCCATGAGGCGCGGACTACGCGGCCCATGCTCCCGAGCCGCGCGCGGGGTGGCGTCGAGGCGAACCCCGGCGACGAAAACGGTCCCGACGCGGGTTGTTGTGAGGTAACCTCTGTTAAGGGTGGGGGTGATGAAGGAAGAGGGGGTCGTGTGAAACCCCCCGCCCCGGCAAAGATGGAGGGTGACGCGCGTCGTGGGAAGGCGGCCCGTGTCTGACCTGCATCTCGTCTCTTCTCTCCATTCCCCCCCCCAGTGGGTGGCTTTTGGGGGAGGGTGTCGGACCCAAATTAGGAAGCCTTTGGGGGTCTTTGTGTTGTGGGGTGGGGGGAGACCCGGCCGTGGGGAGGGTTGTGCATAGTAGTCCTCGACTTACGACCACAGCCTGGGCGGCCCCCCCTCAAACATGAATGAGACGGCCGCTAAGCGAGGTTTTGCCCCGTTTTAGGATAATTTCCAACTGCCGCCGTTGTTAAGCGAATTGCTGCAGGCGTTAAATGTGAGACACGATTGTTAAGTCACAACATTCATTTTTCTCTTGCTGTGTGTGTGTGTGTGTGTGTGTGTGTGTGTGTGTATGTATACATATATGTATATGTATATGTGTGTATGTGTATGTATGTATATGTATATGTATGTATGTATGTATATATGTGTGTGTGTGTGTGTGTGTGTATGGATCTGAAGTAGTCTGTGTAATTTCTCTGCCTCTCATAATATAGTATGATAGAATATAATAGAATGCATATTTTTTGCATTTATGTTTTTGTCATGTTTATGTTGTGTATATTGGAGGTGGAGATCCTTTGAGAGCAGGACGCAACTCAACGGAATTTAACATATTCCGATTGGTGTGCATTCAAAGTGACCAGTTTGCCCTTGGAAGTTGTGGGAGCTTCATCCCTTCAGGCTTTCAAGAAGAGACCGGACTGCCATCTGTCAGAAATGGTGTAGGGTCTCCTGCTTGGGCAAGGGGTCGGACTAGATGACCTCCAAGGTCCCTTCCAACTCTCATTCTATATTCAATGGAACAGAAGTTGCCTTCGGAATTTGTGGGGGCTTCATCCCTGGAGGCTTTCAAGAAGAGACTGGACTGGCATCGGTCAGAAATGGTGTAGGGTCTCCTGCTTGGGCAGGGGGTCGGACTAGATGACCTCCAAGGTCCCTTCCAACTCTGATTATCTGTTATTTGTTTTCTGACAAAGTTTAATTCTAAGTCTTAAGTCTAAGTGAATCTGGTTCCCTCCCTGGATTTTGCTTGTCAAGGCCGCGAAAGGGGATCTTGTGACCCCCTGGGACACTGCGACCGTCATAAATCTGAACCAGTTGCCCAGTGTTCTGAATTTGGATCACGTGACCACGGGGATGCTGTATGGTCGCAAGTGTGCAAAATGGCCATAAGTCACTTTTTTTCCAGTGCTGCTGTTGTAACGGTCACTAAATGAATTGTAAGCCGAGGACTACCTGTATTTTGTGTCTTTGTGGGTTTCTCTGTACCCCACACTCCGCAGAGGAACCCCGCCATCAAAGGACTAAATGATGGTTTAGCCATGGGCAGAGTAACGTGGGAATCTGGTTTCCCTGCCTTGGGGAAGGACTGGATCCCGTGGCTTTACTTCTGAGTTTGTGTCAGAAGCATCACAATTAAAATAAGGCATACTATAAAACAAAATTGATAATACAAGATTAAAATATGTACAAATTAAACAAATATTGACCAGAAACAAGTAATATTGACTGATTAACTTAATTTACATTAAGTGATTAATTTACTTCTGAGTAAATGGACCCCTGTGGGCAGAAGGCCTTGTGGCTGCGTCCTTCAAAGCTTTCGCCAGCCACCATTTTCCCCCAAACTGGGTTGCTTGGATATCTGAGTAAACGTGTGTACAGGTAGTCTTTGATTTACAACCATTCATTTAACGACTGTTCCAAGTCAGAATGGCACTGGGAAAAAAAAGTGATTTATGACCGTTTTGCACACTGATGACTATTGGAGCATCCCCATCCACGTGATCAAAATTCAGACACTTGGCAATTGGCTTGTATTTATGACGATTACAATGTCTGGCAGTCATGCGATCCCCCCTTTGCGACCTTCTGACAAGCGAGATCAGGGGGAAGCCAGATTCACTGAACAACTGTGTTACTAGCAACTGTAGTGATTCACTTAACAGCTGTGGCGAGGAAGCCGTAAAATGTGAGAAAACTCACTTAACACCTGTCCTGTTTAGCGATGGAAATTTTGGGCTGAACTGTTGTCTTAAGTCGAGGACTACCTGTATAAGAAAGCTAGAAGAAAGAGAGTAGAATCAAATCATTCTAAGCCAAAAAAAATGAAGGAAATATAAAAGAAGTAGCAAAATGCTTCTGCGTAGCTGAGAGATGCAGAAAAAAGGAGCAACTGACATTTGACAACTGTCTTGCTTAGCCACAGAAATATTGCGCTCAAATGGGGCCACAAATCGAGGACCAGCTGTATTCAGGAACCTGGGGTCTGGGCTCCGAGTTCAGGGTAGCATTTCTGCTTGGAGGGCAGAAGGAGCAGCCACAGGAGAGAGGCTGTCCTCAAATGACAGGCAGGAGTTTGTTGATGCAGCTTTTGCATATTTACACGCCTGTGCTGAAGAGGAGCTGCGTCCGCAGGTATTTTGTGCCGAAGGAAAAACAGAAAACGAAAAAAGCCAAGCGTCTTGCAGCACGGAGTTCAGAAGGGCCAGGGGAGGCTTTGATGGTTTTGTAAAATAATAAGGCTGCAAAAGTCTGTGCAGCCCAGTTGGGGTCGGCAGGCGTCCCCCAGGGACCATCCCTCTGGCACCGATGATGAGGGTTGTTTTTTTTTGTTTTTGTTTTAATGTAATCGAAATCACTGGGCTTGACCACACATGTAAACAGCAAGGGAAGCAAAGAAAGAATCAGTGGGCCAGCTGGCTGGAGGAACCTTGAAGTCTAAAAGTTGACCAAAGGGAAAAGGGCGTGGAGAGAAATCGAGATGCAACCAAACCCAGATAGGACGCTGAGCAGATGCAGTTAGTCATAATTGCTAAGGACTAGCTTGATCTAGTGGTTAAGGCACCAAGCTAGAAACTAGCAGGCAGGGAGTTCAAATCCAGCCTTAAGTGGGAAAGCCGGCCAGGTGACTTTGGGCCAATTATCAGAAGATGGTGAGTTCTAACTCTGCCTTAGGCGGGAAAGCCAGCTAGGTAACTTTGGAACAATCGACAGTCGACTGAGTTCTAGTCCCGCTTTGGACTTGAAAGCTGGCTGGAGGACTTTAGGCCAATCACCAGGAGACGGGGAGTTCAAGTCCCATCTTAGGCAGGAAAACTGGCTGGGTGACCTTGGGCCGGTCACTCTCTCAGCCAAACCCACCTCACAGGGGTGTTGTTGTGGAAAAAAATAAGAGGAAGGTGGGTTGTTAGGTAAGTTAACTGCCTGGAGTTGTAATAATAAATGTGAAATACAAATAAAAGCTAAGGGTTTGATTGATTGGCTGGGCTGTTAAAAGATTTCCAAGCTTTTTTTACTTTGCCGATTGCAATGATGCCCGTATCTCAAGTCATTAAAATGATGCGTGCTGTGAATGAGTACCATATGTGCTATTTTAAAGATGAAGAGCAAAATCTTTTTCTAATTTTGTAACTGCAGAAACCAGGAGGGAATTCAGCTTACTAGCTTTATGCCAGCCTTGGCCTCCTCCTCCTCCTCCTCCTCCTCCCTGGTTTCGGGATTAGAAGGCAAGCTGGAGGGTTGGAAAGATGTTTCCCCTTCCTCTTTTGCGCCTTGGAGAGGCAGGAAGTAGCAAAGCGTGGAAGGAAGTCCCGTTCTGCTGCTTGATTATAGTCTCTGGGCTTCAAACGTCAGCTAAAGCAGGGGTGGGCAACTGTGGGCCCCTTTACGACCTGTGGACTTCAACTCCCAGAATTCCTGGCTCTGTTGCCCACCCTGATCTAAAGCCTACGCATAGTCTGCCTTTCTTTCTTGGGGGCTGGCACTGCTAAAATGAAAATATTGGACACTACCAGCTAAGGAGATTATGAGCCTTTTTCCTGAGCATTATATTCAGAAAAAAATGTATGTTTGAAGATGGAGACATAATTGCTGATAAAAATTGCAGACTCCTAATAGCCCTTCAATTAAAGTGGAATACATATTCATACACACACACACACATACACACACACATAATCAAATGCACTTCAAATATAATGGTAGAACTAAATAGAATCTTTTATGTACTGAAAGAAAATAAAGTTCTATCAGGCAAACGGTGAAGGGCTTGAATATTCTTACCATTGGCGTATTCTGTTCTGTGGTTTGACTGTGTCAGCACAGGAAGTCCTTGACTTATAGCCATTCATTTCGTGACTCTTCAGAATTTCAGTGGCACTGAAAAAAGAGGCAACCATTTTTCACACTTGTGACCATCACATCATCCCTATAATCGTGTGATCAAAATTTGGACGCTTGGCAACTGGCTCGTGTTTATGACGGTTTCGGTGTCCCATGTTCAGTGGGTCATGTGATCCCCTTTTTGTGATCTGGCAAGCAAAGTCAACGGGGAAGCCAGATTCAGTTAACAGCCGTGCTACTAACTTAACAACTGCAGTGATTCCCTTAATAAAGGTGTCAAGAAAAGTCGTAAAATGGGACAGAATTCACTGTCTGGCTTAGCACCGGAAATTTTGGGCTCATTTATGGTTGTAAATCAAGGATTGTAAGTCTCAATGTCATAATATGTTTACAAAGTAGAGCTGAAATAATGCAGATGACTGAATATTAATAGGTGTGTCCAAACTACAACAAATTATCCAAATAGACTGTACTGGTTGAGCAGAAGAAATATAGGCTGTTTTGCATCAAAAGAGGAAGGAATATAATGTTAGAAATCATTAGCATGAAGCATTGTCAGATAGATGCCATTTTGTATACGGCTAC